GGCGGGGGTGCCCCGGGGCCGCTCCCTCCGGCAGAAGAAGGTCTCCCGCGGTGTGGGACGGCCCTCGCTGTTCCGTGCCGCTGCACAGCTCGCAGGTGCCCGTGTCTGAGCCTCGGCTTCAGCGGCCCTGCTCACCTGGGGGTTGCGTGCACGAGGCTGGCAGCCTCTGCTGCAGGAGCTTCAGTCGCTCGGGTCAGACTCGCGTTTGGGTAACGTGAGCAAGGGTGACCAAGGCACTAATACCATCTTGCTCGTAGTGTTGTCCGATGTTCAGATTAGTGCTTACACAAACACTTCGTTGATTGTCTGGAAACGGTGAAGTCAACTTTTTCAAGTACTGAGTGTCATCGGTTTTCATAAGTACTACTTTATTAAGTGGGGAATAAGCTAGCTCTGGGTGGGCAGTCAGTGTAAGACATTGGGGCGCTTACTTAAGCTGCAAGCACTCCTACAAAAACACAGTGCTAAAAATATCCAGCAGTGTTGTGCAATGGGTGGAATGGTAACCAAATGAGAGTACAATCGTGCTCTAATTTTCTAACCTCCCTATGAAGGTCTCAGACTGCCTGTTTGCAGTAATGCCTACAACTGGGGGATTCTCCGTCAGGTTTTTTATTAAAACCAAACTTAGCCATGGACCTATGCCAAATAGTGTTTAGTAGTCAGAGAAATAGTGTTATGTTCTTTTGAAGTGTCAAATTCTGGCCTAATGAGTCTATGAACTAATGATGTTAGCCCTTTCTCCCTTTGGTACCATAAGTTTCTTCTTGCTGCAGATGTATTCCTGTTTTTTTTTTTCCCCTTGTAGTAAGCATGAGTTTAAAGGATGGTGTCTAGTAACATGGTTGGAATTAGGACATCAGTATGTTAAAGCAAGAGTTACAGACACTTTAGGCTCACTGCTATAGTTTTCTTGCAGTATCTGTTTGCAGTCTATTTCCTGGCAAAGCAAGCTGAAAGGTATTTTATGAAAATTATCATGCTTTGGAGGAAAGTTAAGACACTTGGCTTTAGCCTTTTGTTTCTATTTCAGTCTTCAACAGCTGTAACAACATTACTGTTTCAGAAAGGCACTGTTTTTAAAAAGACAACTTTAGTTTACATGAACTTCATGTACAGTGTTGTATACAAAAGCTATGGTTTTTGTAACTGACTAAAACCATTCCCGGCCCAGTTAGAAATACATTCAAGCCACCATGCTCTTTCGCAAGCAGCACAAGCATGTACAGCCATGTGGCAGTTTGGGGTTTGGTGGTCAAGTATAACTCGGTGCCAGATATTCTGCTATTTCCAACTATATTTTAGATATGGCTAAACATGCTGTAGAGTGTTGTTGTATTTGCAGGCCTAACATAAATTCAGGGACGTAAATTCATTATATTGCAGTCTAGACCAAGTTACACAAGACTCAAGAAATAAAATCTGCCTTTTCTGGCACTGAACTAGCCTTATGTATCAGAGCATCCTTCTTCCCCTTTTACATCCATGTCCTTCTCAAATACTTCATCCTTCTGGGCCAGGAAATTAATTTTGAAGAATGCAGAAGATACTGGTACAAGATGGAGGAGGATAATATTGTGTGAATGCTTCTTTTTTGCATGTGTGTTTGAAGACAAAGGAAAAAAGCCCAAGAGCAATACTGTTACAACAACCAGAATTGTCAGTTGGGCTAATGGTGAACCAGAGTTCTATGAAAAGAATATCAGATTGTGTAAAAGCAAGGATTTTATTTTAAAACAGACAAAATGTTGCCTCCCAACCCCCTGTTGTCCCCCCAAAAAAACCCAAACCCTTGTAATGAATAATTGTCTCATGAGTTGACATCAAAATTTTGCTAATACTTCCCCTTTACTCACTATAAACATCTTCCAGGAGCAGCAGGACCCTCATTACTTGCTTTGAGTATGGGAACCAGAAAGCAAACTGTTGTGTTCCTGTTTGGCTTTGATAGTGGGGGGAAAAAGCAGACTGTTAAATTGCTGCAGGTGGGCCCTAGGACTGTGTCTGAGCTACCATGAGCTCCTGAGGAAGCCTAAGGGGCCGCAGGACTTCTGGGATTATCAGAAATGTTGCAGTTCAGATCCTTGTCTTCCCCTGTCCTGCCTGTGCTAGGCCTGGAGGGAGGATGGGTGGGAAATGCCCTTGAGCTGACTTCTACAGATTTTCTCTGGGGAGATGCCTCCACAGCTGGGAACTTTGCTCCTGCTGTCTTACCCAGACTCAGCTGGCAAGAGCAAAGCTGATGGTTTAATTTCAGTGCTTTTCAGTTGCAACACAATCAAGCTTATGTTTCTAATGCTTTTTCTCGTTGTAGCACCAAACACCCCCTGTTCCCTTCCCTCCTTACAGAGCTGTAGAGCAAACGCTGTCCTTCCAGGAAGGTCTGTGTTTCTCAGTGGAACTTAGCTGTGTTCTCTCAGCTGGCTCACTCTGTCCTGGCACATAGAGCACACCATGGTCTCTGCTAGCTGCTGTCAAAGAAAAATCTTTGAAGCTTTGATTGGTGCCAGTAAACAAATGCAATTGAGGGGAAGTTTCCAAGTTTGTATTTTATCATAGAAGCAAATAAAGATCTTAAATAAGGGCTAGTGTATCAGAAAGGCGGTCATTCCATGGAAGAATTACAAGTTACAAAGTGTAATATCACTAGAACTGAGATTAGAATAAACTATTATAAATTATACAAAAGTTAAAGGAATTTAACTGCAGGGTATATCAGGAGTAGAAATCTGTTTCTTGAGTTCTTATTTTTAAATGGCAATATGATTTTTCTGTGCCCAAAGTCAGAAATTCTCGATCCAGGAACTCATTTCATATTAGCAGGCATTTGGTAATTGTGGACGCAATGCAAGAGCTAGTTTAAGAATACCTTATTTGTCCTTCCAGTACACAGACTTCCCCAGTTTCCCATTTGTGTTTATAAAAAGCAGCAACCAAGCCATCTGCACGCAGCTATTAGAATTTCTGTGGTGGAAGCCCGAGGCATGATACTCCTTGCAGTCTCCCAATGTAATATGCAGCAATTAGTGCCTTTAACAGTGTGGTGGTAAAGATATTTCCAGGTAGGGGTGGCTGCTGAATGCCTGGCATATACCTCCTGTGTAGTGGGAAGTCTTGCCTGTTCATCAAATGACAAACGGCAGGTCCTTTCCACCAGAGCTCGTTAGCAGTCAGCACACATGAATGCAAAGCAGCTAAGTCTGATTTACCTTTTATCCCACTAGGTTCTTCAGCAGCATAAAAATGCTGACACAATGGTGGCTTTGATGAAGGTTTATGAAGAAGAAGACGAAGCTTATCAGGATTTGGTCACCATGGCAACACAATTCTACCAGTATTTACTGCAGCCCTTCAGAGATATGCGAGAGCTGGCGACACTGTACAAACTGGAAATCCTGGTAGGTCTGCCTTGACAGAGTGAAAGGCCAAGTTATATAGTAGGGCATCGCCTGCTCTTGGAGCAGTTTAGATTCAAATCACTTACCGTTCCCTACCTCTGTCTGTACCTACTTTTTTTCCCCCTGCCAAGCCACCAAATGTGACTGAGAAATTCAGAGTTAGGGCAGAACCACTCTCAGAGGATCTCAGAGTCCATGGTATTGGCTTGAATAGAACTGCAGCTGCCTTCCCACCAATGTCCCACTTCCTTCTGTTTTGAGGAATTAAAAGGAAAACATCCCCAAGCTCCACCTCTCTGGGGTTTACTCTCTGGTAGGTTAAATTTACAGACATCTAAGTAGCCTTCGTTGTGCTGCCTTCAGTGGGATTAGTTTGTGACACTGAGAATGCTATCTCCCAGCAATGCTGATGCACCAGATTAACTCAGTTGTGGTGGTAGAACAGAAGGCAGAGGAGACCTTACCTTGCAAAGCAGTTTTCCATTGCTGCTACAACCTGCTAGAAGTACAGATTAAAACATGTCAGTTGTCACTGCGTTCATTTAATTTTATGTGCATCTTAAACTGGAAGCACATACTGAAAGTTATGATGCCCCTGGAGAAGGCAGCCATCTTTTGGCATATTTTGATTTTTCCTTAAATAGTCTGTTAAAATTAAAGTGAGCTGTTAATGTTCTCAAAAAGAGCAGAACAGTTTTAAGTTTAGACTGAGGTTCTTGGATACAGAAAGTCTAAATCTGTGCAGATAAAATATCCAATATGCTGTACTGAAAATTAAAGTGAAAACTGGAATGGATGAAACAGAAAGTTTGTTTCTGTATGAAAAAAACTCTTAGGGGATATTTAGGCTCATTAGGAATCTAATTCTTTTAAAAAATATTTGAATACTGGTCTTGTACTCATGTACACTTTGTGGACTTGAAAATACTCTCGTATGTTTCTTCTCTATATCCCTGTTCCTGTGTGAAAGAACTGCCAAACTGGAGAACCTGACAGCGCAATGTGCTGTCAACACGTGGGGAAAAATAGAAGAGAACATTGCGCGTAGCAGAGTGGTTTTGAGTTACTTTTAGTAACAACTAAAACCACTTGTGTTGGACATGATTTTTAACATGATAGTTTAAAAATATTTTAAGAAATAAATCCGAAGTTCAGCATGAAGTCATGAATGGGCAACAAAGGGTCTGACTTTGTCTAGAGAATGAGGAACAGGGCAATACATAGGCATGAGTAGTGATTCACTTTGTGACAGGTGAGGGGAAGGTCATGTTTGCCACCGTGCTCTGCCGTGCTTAAAAAGTGTAGCATAATGCAGGCTGCACCACTGTGGTAACCAGTTGGCAACTGAGAATTTTGTCTGCTTGCAGAAGTCTTTGCAGTATGATAATTTGGGGCCTAAAAGAGTAGCAGCTTTGCAGAAAGATGCTGAAGAATGGACTAAGCGAGCTGAGAATGCTGTGTGCTCCATTCAGGATATCACTGTGAACTACTTCAAGGAAACTGTAAAGGCACTGGCAGGTAATCAGAATGATTTACACAAAAGGTTGTGCAAATACTTGACTTAGGTGCTGAGAGCTCTTCTTATCACCTCGGCTGGTCTCTCTCTGCAGACCCTGAGGTTAGGATGAGTGTCCAGCTTAAGAAAGAAGCATTTTATTCACTTAAGATTTCTATCTTTTAACCAATGTGGTTTACAACTTGCATTTGGCTTGCACACAGACATTATTAAGGCCTGGGACTTATGGCTGCAAACCTCTGAACAAAAACCATGGACACTTAATGCTCGATACGCAAGCCTCAAGGATTTCAGAATGTTAACTGAGTAGATTACTGTGTAACTGTTAAGGCATGTTTCCATGGTACAAAGAAGTATTTTACTTACATATATAAAATCATAAATTCAGCCTTTTAGTCTTGTAATTTCTAAAGAAGCTTCAGAAATTGTTTAATAGCATCAGCATTTTTTAGTACTGCAGCTATAGTAGAAACACACAAGGGCTATTAGTACACTGCATTTCTCATATCTTATTGCAATGTTTAAATCTGCAGCAATGCACAAACAGATGGAACAAGATCAGGAAAGATTTGGTAAAACCACCTGGGCATCAGCTTTGCCACGACTAGAAAACCTGAAATGTATGTTAGCTAAAGAAACCCTTCAGCATTTGAGGGCAAGAGAGTTGTGCCTGAAACAGAAGAGAGCTGGCATTCAGAAAAACGTAAGACCTTGAAAAGCCTCCTTTTCTGTCAGTGTTCTGTAAAGGGCTGATCAAAACCTACTGAAGTGGTCATGGGAGTAGACTTGCAAAGTCTTTGTCTATGAAACGGCTTAGGTTTTCAACATGGTTTTAAGTTGTGGAAAAATGCACGTCTCCATTTTTTTAAAATTGTTCCTGCACATATGAGGACACTTAGCAAAGGTTAAGATACATGCTTTTACAGTTCAAGTGTCAGGTTAGCATTTGTGATATTAACCTTTAAAATTGTTAATTTTAGGGAGATAAAGACCAGATATTATTTTCAGAGGACACTGCAAACTTATTTAATTTTAATCTTCTGATCTTATTGATTTGATGCCATCTAACTGCTGCTAGGAGTACCAGGTATTTATTTTCCAAGAGTACTGTACTGCACCATATATAATTGTTTTCAGGAGCAGTATTATTTGTGCAGATTATAATGAAGTCTTTCCTGGTAGACTTAAGGTAAACTTACACTTTAGGTTAATAAGGCTCTCTGCTCCTCTGAGTGTCTGCTCCAAACCATTTCTAATGTTCTGTTGTTTCCATACCAAAGCACCTAAGCAGCTGCCAGTTAGGCCAGGCTCTGTACAGGTATTTTTGCATCCGTGCATGTTTCATGTATGCATATTTTATTATTAATGCTTTTTATTTTCTATTTGGGGCTATACAGTTGGAGAATCTCAGTGAACAAGAAGAGAACCTAACTGTAGTGGAGGAGCTGGAAATACAGTATTATGAAACACAGCTGGAATTATATAATGTACAGCTTGAAGTACTGAAACATGAAGAGATGCTGCTTATTGTACAGTTGGACACTTTAAGGAGACAGATTAAAGGTAAGAATAAACAAATATTTAAGCACATATACAAAACACAGGAGTGATATAGCCTGCTCTGTTTTCATTTAAAAAAAAAAAAAAAAAGGTTGATTGTCACTGCTCAGGTCTCAATAGTAGAAAACATCATTGGAAAACACTGATGCCATGGCACCGTCTGATATTTTGCCTTCTGACTGATTAGACACTAATCTGATAACACAAGTTTAAAAAACAAAGTCACACTGGTAGCTCATCTTGACAGCAGCTGTGATATGTGCATGCACTGGTTTAGCATATGGAATAACTTATATTGAAAATACTTAACTGCTCTCACAGTTACAGGATCTATGGATAGAAACTCTGGATATTGTGACCTGCTGAAATGGGTCCTGAAATTCATCACAAATCTCTTGTAATTTAACATGTAGAAATTGCAAAATACATCCTGTAATGACAAAAGGAGGTGATTATAGCTAGATGGTGCTTGAGTACTGCTATATTCCAGTTTAAGTGTCTCTTCATAACATTTTTATGACCAAATTAGGCACCAGTTGTTTATGCTTATTTGTGCTTATGAATTCTCTATTACTGTGAAGTAAACATTGCTCCTGCTTGTTTCATAATTAAAACCTGGTGAATAGTAAAACAAGTCACCCAGTGTTGATCAGAACAGTCTTCAGTTTTCCAGGAAAACTCCAGTCGGTGAAGGTAGGAGTTAAAGCACAGACAGACATTTGAAAGAGGAAGCTAAATAACAACAAGTGGTAACAGCATAAATTTGATCCTGCAAAGCACCCCTGTGAGTAACGTGACATGTTTGCGTAAGACTTTGAAGGACGAAGGACCAAGCTTGGCTCTGGAGTATTACACTTTCTAAGAACTAACTCACTGCTTTCAATGGCTTTTAAAATGTCATTAGTTCTTTAAATGTGTAAATAACTGTGGCAATTTTGGGTTTTTAAAAAAATGCCAAATGCCTTTTTAGAGAAACAGGATGAAGTTGTTTACTATGATACATGTGAAAGTCCTGAGGAGCTCAAGGTCATTGAACAGACAATGGGACAACATTACGCTAACTTGTCAGAAATGACGATGCTGAGGCAGAAGACTAAGCAGTTGGAGACAAAGCGTGGGACTGTCTGTGCGAGGAGAGCCTACCTCAGGAACAAAAAAGTAAATGCAGTCCTGGAGATGTGCATTTTCTTTAGCTGATGTCTTGACTCACGAGGGATGGACAGGAAACAACTAGGGAAGCTTTGGGTGGAGCATACAAGATGATACGTGACTCAGTGCCAAGGCCTCCAAACAGAAAGAGGGGCAATGTGATTTTAAGCCAGCTTTACACTCCACTGTATGGTGCAAGTGCCTCTCTAGTTTATTAAGAGAGCACAGACTTACATGGTGTTCCCCTGTCAGCTAAACCTTACCAGAGCCCTGCTGTGGCCAGCTGGAGCTTTGCCCTGGCAGCCTTTTACAAAGCAGCTGCAGTACAGGAGGAAATGGCCTGCAATGAAGGAAGCTGCAGTGACAGAACAACCCACAAAGTGATACTTTACCTTTGAATGGGAGGGAGGAGAATATTTAACTGCTACAATTCTCTCTCCAGCCTCTCAGTTCTGTGCAAAGGGCAGTTTTTTCCTTTGTTTCCCATTCAGAGCAGAACACCAGGAAGACAGGAGAGATCACAGTTGACTCTCATGAACCTTCCCAGTGAGCTGAGCTTACCTTACACCTGCACAGTCCTGCTGGGGCAGAGAGCAGAGTTTAAGCTCCAGTCTGTCTGGCCCTTTACCCCTCACTAGCCTGGACAAAATGGGAATGACATTGGAAATGTTTTGCGGGCCATCATTGTCTCTTGCTTGCAACTGCTTCCTCGGCAGACGCTTCCTTTGCTTTTGTTTTCATTCACTTAATTGCTGTCTCTTGGTTATATAATGCTAAAGCCAAATGCCAGATGATTTGCAAATGCTTACCCAGCCATGTGGATAATCCTCCTCTGTACAGTGACAAATAGCGACTCCCAGAGAAAATATTGAAGCCTGCAGCTTCTATGCAGCACTTTGTTACTAACAGAAGGTAGCCCTGTTAGGCATTCATTGTGCTTCCCCTACCTTTGCTTCCCTGGCTTTTGTACTTGGGAGCTATGGCAGATAAGGGACAAGGGGAAAGTAGCCTTGTAGTTTTGTAATGCCCTGCTAGCTTCCCTCATGTCTTTGCACGCCTTCCTTCCAGCTGGTACCTGGGTGAAATTTCTTCAGAGCTTGTTGCTGCTTGCTTTTTTTTTTCTCTTTCATCTCTTTTTTTTTTTTTTTTTACCTAAATTTAAGACAGGGGGATCGATTCAGATCTGGATATGTTCCCTCTGCAGCGTGAACTGAGGGTTGTTGTTTTTTTTTTTTTTTTTTTCTTTTTCCCCTTTTTTTTTTTTTTTTTAACCTAAATGTAAGACAGAGGGATCGATTCAGATCTGGATATGTTCCCTCTGCAGCGTGAATAAGCCTATCACTAATTAGGAGAATAAAAGATCCTGTTGGCTTTGGCCATGAAGGAGTCCCACAGACTTTACCTTCAGGGTCTCACATCTGCCACTGATTGAGCTTAGCCATACTTCTTGGCACAGCTAAGCACTTGGCCTTGGTTGCTGTGTAGTGACTTGTGCACAGGAGTTAGTGGCACAGATGGTGCACAGTAAATGTGAACTAACCAAGGGTTGCATGAATTTTACTGTTCTACCAGGATCAATGTGAAGCAAGCCATCGGCAGAGACTGCAACAGGCAGAAGAGAGTAAAAAACGCTTCCAGCAGCATCACAGCATACAGATAGTGAGTACTGAATAGCAGCCTTGGAGAATCTGGCAGCTGCTTGTTTTCACGCACTAATGCTCGCTCACTTGTGTTTTAATGCAGAAGAGAGACAAGCAAAAAGAGGAGGAGAAAAAGAAAAAAGCTTGGATAAGCCAGGAACGTCAGAAAACACTGGAGAGGCTGAAAACATTCAGGGAGGCAAGTACTGTGAACTACTACAGTAGTCCTAAATGGTGTCAAAACATAACTTCAGAACATAGCCATAGCTCACGTGTGAGCATGGTCCAAATCAGAGACAACCATTTGGATAGCCAAATAGGATTGTGTGTAATGAGTCAACAGGTTTAAATCCACTAAGGATATAGTTTCCAGGCGCAGAACCTGTTGCAAAGAATACAAGTGAGGAAATGGCTTTGAAAGAAATACTTTTATATTAATTTAAATCTGTTCAGGGTTGAATTTTCTGCTTGAATGGGGGAGTGGGACAGGTCTGTACTCTGTGGCTTTTTGTCTCTTTGGGGTTGATGTTTTGGCCAGTCCAATGGAGATGTGACTTCCTGCCTTATGATTCATTTTTCAGAAGTGTCCAGCTCGTGTTGTTCTGAAAACGTCGGGTCCCCAGCCTCTCGGTCCCAAGCTGCCACGAAGCATCACTCAGCAGGCTGCAGTACTGTCCCCTCCACCTTCATCGAGAGCAAGGGCAGCTCTGGAGCAGCCAAAGAGCATACTGATAGTAGAAGCCAAAGAATCAAAAGCTTCACATCAGAATACCCCAGCAGATATACCTGTCCAGATTTTTGTTACTGCTGGTGGCTCAGAGCAACAAAAGCACAGTGAGGGATTGATGGTCTCTCCGTCCTCCCCACCACCACCACCTCCTCCGCCTCCTCCTCCTTTACCCCCTCCTCCCCCACCTCCCCCCTTACCTCTCCAGTTAAAGATGCCATCAGCAATAGAGGATAAGCCACTTCCCCTTAGCTCCGATGGGCCCACAGAAAGCCCTGCACTGCACAAACAGGATGACTCATCCAGGAGGTCTATAAATAATTACGTAGGTAAGAAGGCTCACATCAACTGGTGTTCTTCTTTTTTAGTTTCCTGAATTGTTCCGTTCTCCCTCCCTCTGGTTTTGGACAGGAATAGTGTGCAGTCTTGCTCAATAAAATTCAGCTCTTGGAAAGCTTAGTCTAAGAAACTGCACACAATAACACTGACCATAACTCAGGATGCTAAATGAGTAACAATGATTTGGGTATCTGGTTTGATACACTTCAGAGGGTCCTGATAGAGTGTGTGACTCCGTGCTTTTGGGGAAGTCCTGTCAAATTGGACAGGGCGATTTTTTAGGACATTTGAACTTGAATCTCTGCTGGAATCATTTATTAAGTACAGCCTTACAAGTTAGTTTAAATTATGCTTAATCACAGCGCTACTAGTTCTGTGGAGATCTTAATTCAGGACCTGCATTTCTTACAACGCTGCAAATCCCACTGCTGTAATAGGTAGAAAGGTGTCAGAAGGAATTCCAAGGGCAGGGGGTTTATTCCTGTTTTTTGGTGAGAAGCAACCTTTATTACCAGGTTGGTTCTTGTCACAACTTTGCAACTTTTGAACCAAATGTGGCATTTTGATTGAGGATCGATCACCTGTTCAGCCAGAAGACCACTGTGGGTCAATTTGTGGTTGTACTAAGGCTGCACTTTAGTGTTTATGACTTATGTACTACAGAGCTAGCAGTTGGGCTGCTTGCATTTCTAAGGTATGCATAGCCTGTGTCCACTTATAATTTTTTAAATAAAGGTTTCTTAAGAGAATTCATGCAGAATTTCACCAGGATTTGAAAGGCAGATGGATAGCTTTGGCATACTAACATTCGTAGGGCAAAAATTCTGCTCTGTTGCACCTCTGCTTTGTTAGTAAGATCTCGGCAATTGAAACAGTAGTTGGAATGAGAATAAGGCTCAGCAGCCTCCCAAGGCTGCACTGGTTACATCCCGCTAATAGGCTTATTTTTATCTCTAAAGCAAGCACATATTTTGACTGTCAGAGAGATTGATCTAAGTTGGAAGGCAGCAATTTTTTATTGTCATTTTTCACAGTGGAGCTTATGCTAGAATGAAGCATGTCTTTAAATGTGGTACATTCCTTTTCAGACTATTCACAATACATCTAAGCAACCTTTGCATCCTCTCAGTTCAGAGACAAACCACATGCAGAAATACCAAGGAAGGTTCAGCATTTTCAGTTCTTCCAAGGTGTGGGGAAGTACAAGCAGCTGAAGGGCTGAGACACGGTTGGGTTACCGTGACAAACTACTGTGCGTCCAGTGGATCAGGATGTGGACTTCAGTCTGGGAGGTCTGTGGGATAACTCTACCACAGATACGCTTAAAAAGCTTTGATTAGCAACAGGAGTTGTACGCCAGAGTAGCCTGATTGCTACTGGAACAGCCTCGCTAGAAGCTAATATTTACCACCATTCACAGCCTATCATGGATGTCCTTTTATTATTATGGATAAGAAAAATCCTTTTTTGTTCATTGGAGAGATCCAATTGGTTGTTACACCTATTTCATGAAGAAAACCAGCATACTAATTGCTGTAATAGTAATCGGTAAAATAGTGCCACAGGAACTTACGGAAACAGCTTCATAAACAGGTTCTTTGGACTACTCATGTCTTTGCACATGAAAAGCCAGGAGAGATTCATATTCTGGTGTTGAAAATACTGTCTGTGATGTGTTAACATACTTTTCAAGGGGAACTTCTTCTATAATTTGTTAGCCCGACTAGTCTTTTACCAGGCAGCCCATTTGATTAATAGACTTAAGATTTTCTTACTCGAAGGCTTTTTAAGACAACTTGGTGGATCTTTGCTTGATCCTTTTCTGGCATCTCAGCCTCTGAAAGTACCACAGGATTTAGCAGAATGTTAAATTTCAAGTACTTGATGTTAATCGCATAACCTTCTGTGCACTGCGCATGGCAAAAATAACTTCTGGCTGTGAGGCACAGATGGTCTGAACCTATGGCTGTAGGAGTCGACTGCTGTCCAGGGAACTGCCTCCCTGTCCAACAGTCTGAAGCTAGGAACAAAGAATCCAACAGAAGGAGTAAAATGCAAATTACAGTGTGTATCAGGAGAACTAGTGGAAGCTCTCTCTCAGTATGGTGTCCTTTATGGTCTGAAATTCAGAAACATACGCCTGAGATTTAAATCATGTTGTAAAATGGGAATTATTTTTTAAGTCCATACAGAAAAGAGCTGCCTGCCTGCCTGCTTAGGGCCTGATCTGGCTCCCACTGACTTCAGTGGTGCAGTTTCAAGCCCTTCTACTCACATCCTTTCATTTTTCTCTTGACTGAGCAAAAATGCAATTGACAGTCTCAGCAGGCATCTGAGCAAGCTAGGAGGAATGGTAGATTGTTTCTAATACAGAATACAAGAGATTTTTTGGTTCAGTGAAATTTTTTTGAAAGGCCATAAAGTTGTAATGAAAAAGAAGCATACTCCTTTGTGTATAATTTCTTCCTTGGAGCACAACCTCGTATAATGTTGAAGAGGCATTGGATTCTCAATTCAAGATATAAAAGCTTTAACTGCTTTTTAAAAGCAGTTCCAGAGCCTGATGTGGCAGAAGCTTGAAAGAGTCTGTGCCAGAACATACCAGGCGTTTTTCTGTCTCTAGTAAAGATGAAAGGAAGAACCCTGAACACTTGGGTAGGGTTTTATACCTCTAAGCGTGGTTGTCTTGTTCTTTCTTCTGGTAACAATAGATTTATCTGTTGCAGGCTCCATGGATGAGGTTTTGGCTTCTCTAAAACGCAGTGAAGTTCATCTTCGCAAAGTGGAACAGCCGAATCCGTATGCCTCTGTAAAAGACAACATCCTCTCTGCCATAAGGCAAGGAGTTAAACTAAGAAAAGTGAATCGAGATACTGAGAAAGATGTCAGTAAAGGATCCACTAATGAGCTAGAGAGAAGCATTAAGGCAGTCATCCAGAGAATTAAGAAAGTGTCTGCTGATTCTGAAGAAGAGGAAAACAATGATCAGAATAATGGAGAATGGGACAGCTAACCAATTCAGAGGAACAGACGTACTGACTGGAACAGAGAGTGTGTCTCATTTGCACATTGTAGAAGACCGTCCCTTTCAAAATGAAAGAACAGCGTGATTCTGTGTGTTCTTCTCACAGTCCAAAATGTCTTGTAAAGTAAAAGAATCCTATTGATTTTCTCCAAGAGCTGCAAATCATTATTTTTGCATGAGAAATAATACTCCAAAATATGCTTGCATTAATAGATATTTCTGACTCAACCATGTAGAATTTTCACCACGTCTGAAGACAGCTAAAATGCTGGGTTGAAACATACGGTGTTTAGGTTGTTACTACAAGTAGGTAATGCTATCACAACACAGTTTAAGGAGTGAAAAACTAACTGAACATCTATTTTGTCAGATAAAAGTAGAACCAAATCTGTGGAGAGGCAGACCAGAAAACAGCATAATCTGGAACCTCTCATTCCTACCTCCGTTATCCGGAAATTTCTTTAACATTTTGCTTGTCTAATACAGCTCACTCTCAACTACCTACGTGGATACTCCATTTATCATTATGTTATAAAGTGTGCACTTAAGAATGGGCTTGGTAATGCTGATTGGGAAAATCGCTATCAAGTTTGAAATAAACATTACTATAATAATTACCAAAAAGTTTACTTTTTAGCTGGAAGCTTAAATATAGAGGATTTTTAGATGCTAAATGTTTTTTATGCATCTACATTTACAATGAACTGTTGGCATGAAAGAGCCAAAATATTGTATATAATATTTTCTGGGATCTAGCCCTGTAATACAGAGCTGCATTTCTCCACTGAGAACATCAATATATGTTTATAGCTACTCTCATGAATTTAAATTACCTGATAGCCTTATAAATGGCAGAAATTTGCATTGTGCCTGGAACCTGACTATTTAAAAATTCAGCTATATTCAATTTAGAGACTGTTTCTATTTTGGGTAGATAGTGACAAAAATGAATCAAAGTTTCTTTTGGAGTTTATACTGACCCTTAATAAAAATACATCCTGACAGAAGAAGTGGATTCAGTGTGCTGTCATTTTAGGATACTGCTGTGAAGTAAGCATTTCTTACACCATGGTACTCTGGTTTTTGATAGCAAGTGGCAGCCATGTGGCAACTGTGCTCTCTCACTAACGGTATATGTAAATGACCTTATTTTCTCAAATATTTATGAATTGTAATTTGGTAACAAAATTGCAAATATGGTGCTTTAGTTCCCTGTTTTACTGTAGAGTAGCAGATCTGTTTAATCAGCACAGTAAATATGTATGCAACAGTTTTCATGCGAGAAGCAGAAGCAGCAGCTGGGGGTTCATTTTTTTACTGTTTCAGCACCTATGGCTATTTGGAAGTCAGAAAAAACCCACCTTTTTTTATCCACTGCCATCAAAGCAAATGGAGACAAAAGCGGCAGCAGCAGCAACACAGGTCAGTTCTCACTCGACGCTTCGGATGTCTGCAGAGGGGAGCTGGTGGGTGCCGTGCCGCCGTGGGCCCACACCGCCCTGCCTGCCCCTGAGCCGAACTGGGGGGAGCGGGGGCGAATTTATTGCCCGTTCAGACTTCAGCATCCCAAATGCTGAATTCTTCCCATAGACTGGAACCGAGGACAAAATCTGGTCCTTCGAGAGTGGAGATCTCTTCCCCAGGGTTACCCTGGGCAGAGGGGGTGCTCGGCCAGCGGCAGGGAGCAGCGAAGGGGGCTGGGGCCGAGAGCTACCCTCACGCACGCTGTGCCCTTTAGCAGTGCGGTTATTTAAAGCCGAGGGAAAGGGCGCTGGGGCTCGGCTGCCTTCCCGCGACTGGTCCCTCCTGCCAAATGGCAGCTCTGAGTCCAGGGCAGAGCCCTTCGCCGTTTTATTACTATGATTGAATTCTCAGCTACAGTGCTAGGGAGTTAAATGCAGCAGTTTAAAGTATGCAGAGAATAAGTGAGTTGCAACTTCTCCAACAAATCTTGCAGCTTTTGTGTGTTTAACAGCAGCAATTTCACCCAGGAGAGGCCATCTGAGTAACAGCAACACTGGACAGTGATTTCTTCTACCTAGAGTTTTCTTTTGCAATGGTGCCTGAAGCTCAGCTAGGGGCTGATCTCAGGTGTTCAAGAGAGCTCTTTACATCCCAGGCTGAAAAATGTCCTTAAAAGCCCACTGAGAAACAGTCTGAACCCACCTGTTTTCTGAAGCCCACTTCATTTGCAGTATGGCCAACAGACCTGCTTTGTGAAAAATGTGCTGCAGCAGTTTTCTAGTTGGTGTGGAAGATTTCACCTGTATCAAATATCCTTGCCACTGGGTTCATTACCAAAATTTGAAGGCTGCTACTCAGCAGAGATGAGCCCTGATGGGAATAGGGCTCCCAGGGCACAAAGCAGCCCTTGCGCAGCCGCAGTGCCAGGAGACGATGGCGGGGTCCCGGCCGTGCCAATGGGTGCAGCTCCTGGCAAGAGGCAGCCGCTGGAGCACCAACGCTCCTGGATGTCAGAAACATGACCAGGGAAAACACCAAAAGCACTGGCGTTAGCCTAAAGAAGAGAGCAGTTTTCAAATACATAAGAGACTGCTGCAAAGAGGAGGGGAGTAATTTGTTCTGCAAGTTCACAGGGAGATAACGGGCTTAAATTGCAACCAGAAGGATCAGGTTAATGGTAGGCAAACCTTTCTAACCAACGGTGAGAGCAGAGAGGTGCAGGGACAGATTGCCTGGGAAGGTGGTGGAGTTTCTGTCACTGGCGATCTTTAAAATCAGGTTAGACAAACACCCCCCGAGGTGCTGCTGGTATGGCTGACGCGCTGCGGCAGGGAGAGGTTTGCAG